TGGTACTATGCTGGAATTCACTCCTGAGAGCGACTGACTCTTTCACAAATGGTCACAGAAGCACTGTGCATGGCAAGGTGCTTGATTTTATACACCTGTGGCCATGTAAGTGACTTGAATGATCAATTCAAATGTTCCAGTTGAATGAAGTCATTGAAATCATGATTAAAAAGATTTCGGCACAATAGTGTATTTGGAAAATAGAAAATGGAATGGAAGACATTTGACCTTGAGGAGGGCAACAGCAGAACAGTTGGAGAATGTTTTTTTTTACCCTGAAGACATGGCATAAGAAAAACACCAAACAATAGACATCAGTCTCAAGTTGTTTGGGAAAAAAAGAGGGCTTTTTCTTTCAGGCAGGTACAAGGACAGACCACCAAGCAGTCCAGACGTTTTCTGAAGAACAAAACAAATTGATGTGATAATGGCTGCCTAAATGTAAAGCAAGGATAATAAAATGTAATTACATTTGAGTTTTACCATCATTCTGACCTACTTACCAGGATGCAGACTGTAAGCACATTTGTGTATAGTTAGTTATTCAGAGTTTTGAAGCACTGAAAGAAACTTTTATTGTTGTGATGCACTTGAATATTAGAATCACAACCAAAACGAGCTAAAGCTCTTTTTTTCGTACAGTTTTGTTACAATGCACAGAAATGCACATACGGCTTTGGAACACAGTCTTCCTGACAGCATGCCACACTTTACACATTTAGACATGAAGTGTAAAAAATGACGTCTATGCACTAGAACATCATGGGTTAGAGAGCACGACCGATGACTGTACGCTTCAGTCAAGTAGGAGTCCCATGATTTTATGTTGAGTGTTAAAGTGCATGCATGTGTTCTCCATTTAATCTCAATCTTAATGAATACTACAGAGTTTGTTGTTCATATTGCATTCATACTCACTAGATCCTGGTGGTCCTTCATTATTATTCTCTTATTTTGATGTAGCAAACTCCTTTCTGCAAGAAAAATACATAAATCTAATTTTCACATCCAGATAAAAAACATGTAAACAGCTTCTATATCTTCACCTTAAAACTGCTACTCTTCTTGCTTAGTTCATGAAATGCAAAGAAAGATTTAGACTCCTCAGCCGCCTTGTTAGGTACACCTTGCTACTACTGGGTTGAACCCCTTTTGTGCCTTTCTTAACTCTTTGTGGCACAGATTCCTTTTGAAATTTTGGTCCATATTGACATGACAGCATCACACATGATGCAAATCTCTCCTTCCATCACATCTTAAAAGTGATCTGTTGGACTGACGTGATGACTTTGGGATCTAAGTACACAGGTGATCTGGTGTTATCCTGCTGGAAGCATCCATCAGTAGATGACAACGCTGTGGTCATAAAGGGATGAATATGGTCAGCAGAAATACTCAGGTATGCTGTGGGATTTAAATGATCCTCAGTTGGGTCCAAAATGGGCTGAGAAAATATCCCCCACACCATCACTCAGGGTGGATCCATGCTTTCATGCTGACTGTGCCATCTGAATGTTGCAGCAGATACTGAGAGTCATCAAACCAAACAATAGCTTTTTAAACTGTAGCCTTCGTTTCTTCGTCTTAGCTGACAGGAGTGAAACCCAGTGTGGTCTTCAGCTGCTTTAGCTTCTCTGATTCAGAGATGCTCTTCTGCAGCCCTTGATTGTAACTTGTAATTAGTCACTTGACTTACTCCTGTCATATTCTCAGCTTAAAACAGTCTGGTCATACTCTACTCATTTCTGGCATTTAACGATTTTTCACCCAGAGAACTGACGTTCACTGGATGTTTTCTCTTTTTCAAACCCTCATCTGTATATTGTAGAGACGGCTGTGTGGGAAAGTCCCAGCAGATCAGCAGTTTCTGCAGTACTCAGATCTGCCCATCAAGCACCAACAACCATGGCACATTCACTTAGATCACCTTTCTTCCTCATTCTGATGCTCAGTTTGAACTTAAGCAGGTCATCTTGACCATATCTACATACAAGAAAAACTGTGATGCATCTTAATTCATTAAATAAAATTGTGACATCTAGTTTATGATCATTTGATTATTTGTACTACGTAGCTTAGCCAAAACCCAGCACCATAATGGTGACCTGGTGGATAGTAAGAGGATAAATGCTCACAATACTTGTCACAAGGTAAAATAATGGATTATAAAAGAATGAAACTGTCCATTTAAATAGTCGTAGGATTTGGATGAAAACACATTTTTAATGTGGCAGAAAGTAAATGATGAAAATATTTTTCTTTTTCTCTGTCATTGGGGCTGCTGCTGAGCGCACCCTCAAGGTGCCGATTGTTTGGCAGTGACATCTCTTAGCCTTAAAAAAGAAAAACTGTGTTGCATAGCGGCTTTGAGATTATTTTTTTTTTAATTAGTATTTTCTTTGATAATGCCCACGATATTTCTCTCTTCCTTCAGTACAGTCACATTAGGCCAGTGTCCAACAAAGCTGCACTCCACAGTACTGACTGCAAAATGATATCACCGTCCTGATGTAAGAAATAAAGAAAAGGAAAGATGCTAATTTGTTCAACACTTTAATAGGTTTCCAAATTTATTTGTAGCACAGATTTCAGCTTAAGTGAATAGAAGTGAAATTGAGTGTATTGTACCTACATTATCACCAGTCTGTTTGGCTTTTCTTTCCACACGTGCTCATTAGTGATTTTTCAACTTTTTAAAAATTCACTTTTTTTTTTTGTCTGTGGTCAAAATGAGTGTTTCAGGGTAACCTGATCAAACCCTAACTATATGCTTTGTCAGGAAGTAAAGTTTGAAGCCTACTCTTAAAAGTAATCAGGCTTGCTGTCTGTCTAGAGCAGGGGTCCCCAACTCCAGGCCTTGAGGGCCGGTGTTCTGCAGGTTTTGCATCTCACCCTGGGTCTACACACCTGAATCAAATGATTAGTTCATTACCAGGCCTCTTGAGAACTGCAAGACATGTTGAAGAGGTAATGTAGCCAATTTAAATCAGCTGTGTTGGATCACGGACACATCTAAAAGCTGCAGGACACCAGCCCTTGAGGCCTGGAGTTGGGGACCCCTGGTCTAGAGGTTTAGGTCACCCATGTTTTGGAATAGCACAGAGTCCAAAACTCAGTAAGTGCAGAAACTTCCATCCTTTCAAATTCTTCTGCTTATTCAATTCAGGTTTGCTGTGTGGCTGGAGACTATACCATCTGTCATTGTCTGAGAGGTGGAGTACACCCAGGAATGGATGCCAGCCTGTCACAGGGATAACTCATTCGCAGTTAACTGAATCCCATGCATGTACATGGGGAGAACATGAGAACCACATCACTGAATGTTCAATCTCCAAGATCTGAGCAGTGAAAGCAGACTTGGATTGGACACTTTTCCCTGTAGTTTGCAGCTGTATACCAGCACAGTGAATTTTAAATCCAGTAATCTTCAGCCAATCTAATTCTTGGGGTTTAGTAAAATCATTTCATTGTTTAGGAGCTAAACATTTTAAGGCATTGTTATACATATTCCCACATTCTCATCTGCCCTGTTGGAGACAGATATGCAAAGTCTTGCCTTAAGTGCTTCCATTAGTAGTCTGTATTTCTTGAAACACAAGGAGACCAATGCTTTGCACCCTGACTCATTCCTTTATTACATAAAACACTTCATTAGCATAAAGTAGCAGGCAGTGTGCATTGTTCACTTTGGAATGATTTGCATAGTTGCACTGTAAAGCCAGCAGTGAAACAGCTCCTCTGAAATTTGAAATAATTTAGTATAATTGCATGCATCTTAACACTGAAACCGTCACAGTGTGTGAAGCCACAGCAAATACATATACATGTATATTTTTACTATAAAGTACGGATCAGTGGCCTTAAAATTTCTGTTTTACTTTAACAGACATTGAAAATGTTCGTCTCAGTAGCGGTTTCAGAAATATTGTTTTTAAAAACAAGGTAGTTATCGTGTTGGCTTTGGAGTGAACTCAGATTAAACTGGGACCTTGTTACACTGTGGGTTCAGTCTTGGCTAACACTTTAAAAAATAATCAATTTACATCATGTAATATCTAGAACAGTAAACTTCCTACAGGTAAAATTCAGTCATTCAGCCAGGAAAGCGCACAGACACACTTCTGAAGGACGATACACTTGGAGAGTTATAAAACAACAGGGGTCACTGGGACTTTTAATAATAATATACAGTTGTAGATCTTAAACACAGATATAATTAAAAAGGTTATTCATGAATTTCTCCAGTCACTTCAAATGCATTTGAATTATACATTCTGACTCACCTGCATAATTCACTAGCACATCTCAACTGAGCAAAGCCCTCTGATATCCCTGCAGGACTGCCCCCTCTGTTTGCCGTTTTGATAGATGTAGATTATAAAAAACATTGAATTCTTTGTCAGGCAGTTACGCATGTTGCACAAAGCGGTTGCAGCAGGTTTGTCCGGCACTATGCATCTGTAACACCTTATCTGTGAAAAGATTTCTGCGCTCCACCTGCCTTGAAGAATATTATGGCCTGTTTTCTGCTGCTGATCTTTAATACACATACAGATAAATATGATACAGCTGAGTGTTAAACATGTTGATAGGTCAAGCAGATTTGCCCTCTGGCAGTGCTGTGCAATACTGCAAGGTTTAGTATTGATCTGATACCAAGTAAATACAGAGCCAGTATTGCTGATACCGATACCTTTAACTTATAAAGGCAGCTTATGTAGGGTGGAGCAGTGCGTCATGACTTAGGAGATGAATAATCATCATTTTGCAAATTCTGAACACATTTTAATGACCACTAAAGTCACTGTGATTTTTACTTTCCACAGTAACACAACAAAAGACACCTTTCAGATTTTCATGTATTTTCAGACTGGGTTTTTTTTGAGAGCTGGAAGGTAAACGTGTCGTCTCTGAACCACTTCTGTTGTTTAAATGCGCTATAGGTCCTAAATTAAACAGACATGACAGTCAACACAAAAAGGTTCAGACATGTTTCACAGTGCATGTTTGAGGTATATTTTTAATTTACAAAAAAAAAAAAATTTAACACGATTAAGTAGGTTACACACTGAACTGTGGGGATAGAAGCAAATTATTAATCCGATACTAAACCAGCGTTTGAATCGATACTATCGATATTTGGATTCTCGATCTCAAAAGGACTGACATGTGACAGGATCAGAAAAAATCCTGCATGTAGATTCCCCTTTCAGAAAATCACTTTGAACTAACAGAAAAACACACGGATCAGCAGTGGGGATGTTTCCTTCGTATCCATGGAGGAGGTCAAATAATGACCAAGGCTCTCAGTCTGTTCACACCGGAGGGAATCCTCATCTGAACCCGAAATAGGACGTGCCCGGGGGAAATTATTCATGCTTGTGGCGCAGACTCCTCTCTCGATAGATCTGTTCGGTGAATGGTCTGCAAATACAGAAAAACAAACATGTAATGGGACAATAAATGAGCTTGGAAGGCTGTACCACTCCGTGCCAGGAGCGCGCCTGTGTGTTGAACCGTGAGGGAGCTTGAGTATATGAGTGAACGATAGCAAGATGCCCTCGTCTCTCCACGTGCTCCACCACTCTGCTGCAGATGGATGCAGATCAAAACTTTGGAGTCCAAGAGCAAAACAGAGTTTGAAGCATTTCTGTGGTACTAATGGCTAACACAAGAATCAGAATCAGTGGACACGCTTAAAGAATTTATGTATCGTGAAAATTTTATAACATGATGTAACATATTGGGACACTGCCTCTTGGTCTCAATGTATCGTTGCAATCAAGTTTACTGGCAAAAGGAATCATATCCATCCCATTAATTAGGCACACCTTGCTAGTACTGGGTTAGATCCGTTTTACCTTCATTCTCCATTGTATAGCTCCTACAAGGACTGCAGCATCACACAGAAACACACAGCGGCTCCAGGTTTGTCAACTGCACACCAATGATGCAAATCTCCCAATGCACCAACTGTTTATGCAAGGCAGGATGGATCCATGCTTACATATAGTTTACCCTAAACCCTGGCCCTTTGGTGAAGTCATGCAATGCAGACTTACTTTCCTGCTCTGAGCTAACCGGAGTGTCACCCAACATGCTCCTATAGCCCATCTCCTTCATGGTTCAACACGCTGTCCATTCAGAGATGTTCTTCTGCATCTCTTGGTAGTAACAGGTGGTTATTTGAGCATACGCAAAGCAGTCTGGCCATTCTCCTCTGACCTCTGGCATCAACAGGTCAGAGAACTGCTGCTCACTGGATATTTTCTGTGCTCTTCTAGACCATTCTCTGTAAACCCTACTGATGGTTGTGTGGGAAAACCCCAGCAGATCAGTGGTTCATGCTAATCTACTAGCACCAACAACCATGGCAGAGTCAGCACCATTGAAATCACATTTCATCCCCGTTATGAACCTCGGGACGCATTTGGAACCATGCTGTCATGTGACTGGCTGAGATATTAGTTAATGGTTAGTTAAACTGTGTCTCTAACATGGTGACTACTGAGTATATCATTAAAGCGAGGAAATAAGGAACTGAAGTATGATAAAAGTGAAAAAACTAAATGCACAGCGCAGCTTTTTAGGAGTACTCTACAGAGCTCCTGCAGTACTGGATGTCACAGCATCTTTATTAAACATTTAAATGCTTACGCTTCACACTGTTAAGTAATTTTTTGTTATCCTGCTGACTTTCAGAGCACCCAGCCTGTGGATCTACCACCATGGCCAGTCATCAGTTTCTCGCTTTTCAGGAAAGTCATAGTAATCTAATAAACTGTGCGTAAGAATAGATGCAACAGTGCCGTTTCATCCTGGTGTGAGCTTTCATCGCTGCACTATTTGTATCATGAAGATGGCGATTACGAGCTAAAACAAATCCAAGACGCTCTCTGAACTCACTTGACATCAGTTTCTATTCCCTGCATGGCTCCCGCATCAATCCCACTGCCACTTTTACCAATTCCAGTCACCGTGTGAGGTAGAATCCAAGCAGACACCCTACTCTCCACGTATAGTTTAAACAAATGAGATCATCCTGAATCTATTCCAGCAGCGAAACACAAATATAGCACATGAATCCCAGTGGCAGTGTGTGGTAAAATCTGGCACCTGCCTATCCTTCAATTCACAGGTTCAAGCTAAGTGAGACAACGATGGATCAGTGTTGCCGGATGTAAATCTGTGCGCTCATGCACAGCTTGTGTTTAATGCCTGACACTTTCGGAAAAGCATGCCTCCGACTCGGCCAGGGTTAAAAATCTCTTTTTAGACTTTCATTTTACTCGGGTGGAGATTTATTTGGTCTATTGAGGCTACTCAGAAATGCTCAGCTAGACAAGGATAGCAGAATCATTTCTTGCAATCGCTGGGTGAGTTGTGCTGCAGAAGAAATTGTCCATGAGAAGCAGTGAAGGAAAAAAGTTATAAACCAAGCCAAGTTTTGTTGGACTGGTGAGATAGAGCAGGGATGTCAAACTCTTTTCACATCATGGGCCACATACATACATTAAGTGGGCCGGCCAGTGAAAAATCTCCTTTCTGTTTAATGTAAATAAGTTTAACTGCATATTTAATCCCAGGGATATATTAATATTTCAATAATACATTAATATTATTTATTTATAAAACTATTGATACATTGTAAAAAAACAGACATTTCTATAGTATACTGATAAATAAACAGGAACTCTGTAATTAATACTTCTGTGTGGATTTAACTGTATGGGTTGAACAGCTACATGGAATATTCTGATATTCCAGAATTTCTGATGCCAGAAAAAGTAGCACTCTTACCGTCTACATCCTCAGAACATGTTTGCATTTTTTGTAAGTGGAGGCTTTCCAGTTATGTTGCTGTATCCCATACAGAGATGGGCAGTAACGCGTTACTTGTAACGCTACAGTAACGCGTTACTTGTAACGCGTTACTTTTTTCAAGTAACGAGTAAAGTAAGGGATTACTATTGCAAAAATGGTAATTAGATTACCGTTACTTTCCCGTAGGAACGCTGCGTTACTAAAACCGTGATTTTTTTGCGAGAATGTCTCATGACAGTGACGTAAGCGAGTGCGCCGTTAGTGACAACAGCTGTGTGCAGATCAACAATGGATCACATATCGATTGTGGGAGAGAGTATGAGCGTGCAGCGTTTAAAGCGTGGAAGTACTGACCTTACTTTGAGTTTGATTCCATAAAAAGTGACAAAAACATTAGCGTCCATCGTGCGTGGGAAGAAAACTTCTTTTTACAGCGAAAAAAACCCCCTAAACTTCCAAGCAAGCACCGAGTGCGCAACGACGTAATGGGAAACTCACAGAGAAACTCGCGGATTCTTCAACTGACCGCGGCACACCTGCACCAGGGTAAACCTCCGCCTACCCACTCCTGCTTTACAGGTGAAAATAGAGCAACAGGACCGCTGAGTCTTTGACTTTATTTATTTTCTGCTGTGTTTTACTTGCATCTATTTGAAAGAGTGAGTGTAAACACAAAAAATATTTTATTTTATGTGCTGGAATGTGCAGAAAATAGGTTTAAATGTTAAACTAATTTATTCAAGTCAGAGAATGTTGCATATAATTAAATTTTTGCTTGATGCATAAAGTTAAAAGATTAAAACTGATAAAACAAGTTAAAAAAAGAGACTTTTCCATTTGATTACATTTTGTATGATGGATTATGTAGAAAAAGTAGAATTGGGCTGAAAGATCTATCGCTTTATCACCTCTTCAGGTTGTAAATTGTGTTTTTAAAAAGTAACTAAGTAACTAAGTAATTAATTACTTTTGAAAATAAGTAATCAGTAAAGTAACAGGATTACTTTTTTGGGGAAGTAATCAGTAATTAGTTACTGATTACTTTTTTCAAGTAACTTGACCAACACTGATCCCATATGTTGCTGATTCTTGTTTTTAATCAACAAATGTAATTTTCAGTCTTTTCTAAAAGCTGCTGATGTGACACGTGTCATGAGTAATAACACCAGACCTTCAGGATCCTGTGTTATAATCTGTGTGACTCAGCAGATGCAGGTTGACTGCTGAATAAGTCTGTGCTGAAACAATACTTAAGTTTATTTGCATATTTTTCACATTATCATTCAGCCTTCATTTTTTGACCAGAAAGGTTTTTTGATCCATGTCCGCTCCTCCTTCTGGTTATCTGCATATTAAAGTCTAGGGCCCATGACTCATAAGTCTCTGCTTTTTTCCTCCAGGTGTCTCTAGTTTGGTTTAATAAGCTGGAAACCAATAAAAAAAGGGAGCAGGGAGTTGTTTTCTTCCCTCCTCCACCTTCTAGCCACTACAGCTGCAGTTTTTGTTTTTGTTTTATAACTGATGAATCAAGTCAGTGTATTTGCACATCTTTATTTTCTTATTTCTTTTGTATGGTCAGTAAATTACTGTTACAGGTTTTTTAGATGTTGCTAAATGTTAGGGCTCTTGGATCTCTTTGACTCTTGTTGGATTTTTTGATTTTATAAGACCGCATTTGTAGCGAGCATTTCTGGGGGCTGTAACCTACAGTTATTATTTAAGGTTATTTTCAGTTGTCACATGTTGCCCTCACTAAACCCATATATAAAGGATTTTAACAACAAATGTGATTTAATGACAAATGAGAGATTTAGAAAGACTTACCCTTCAAAGCTTATTGCCACCTTGTATGCCAAGGCCACTATGGCAGTAAGAACTAGACCGACAGGACTGGCACCACTGCAGACAGAGGGGGAAAATGACTTAGTTAGAAGGGTCTAGTTTCATATGCTATATACACTAGACCATTTCTCAGCAAAGTATCCATTACATGTAATGTAATGTCATTCGTTACCTAACCCCCCCCCAAAAAAAACCCAAAACATTCATTCTCTTCAACTTATCCTTGTCAGGGTCGTATTGGGGGTCTGAAGCCTATCCCAGTTGTCTTAGTAGGTACAACCTGGACAGGTTGCCAGTCTATCATAGGACCAACATACAGAGACAGACAACCATGGGCCATTTTGAGTTACCAATTAACCTATCCCCACTAACTGCATGTCTTTGGACTGTGGGAGGAAGCAGGAGTACCCGGAGAGAACCCATGCAAACACGGGGAGAACATGCAAACTCCATGCATGGCCCTGGCCTGATGGTGGAAGTGGAAACTCAGGACCTTCTTGCTGTGAGGCAACAGTTCTAACCACTATGCTATCCTATGCTTTAAAAAAAGAAAGAAAGAAAGAGCCACACAGGTCGAGGCACTGGTTGGGGACTATCTGGAAACCACTGATCGCCAGAGAAACATGTATTCCACAACTGGATGGTAAGTGGTAGGTTGCTGGCAGTCACTGTGAACTCAGTTACTAAAGGCCCATGGATTAATCTATGCAAATTACAGTGACAGCAGCAATATGCTAGCTACCCAAGCAATTACAAAGAGGTTTTTGGTGTCACATAAACACTAACGTTCAACAAACTCCAGCAACCACTTGCAAACTAGTTGGGGAATACTGGTCACCAGGTAAATACTAGGTTAGCAGACTGCTCTCTAGGCATATGTGACTGATTTCACTAAATAAACATTTCCCACAAAAAAGATGTACAGGGTGGGCCATTTATATGGATACAACGTAATAAAATGGGAATGGTTGGTGATATTAAAGTCCTGTTTGTGGCACATTAGTATATGTGAGGGGGCAAACTCCTCAAG